CGTTAATTATCCATTTAACAAATATTAAAAAATATTCAATAAAATTGTATATTAAAATTTATACACTGCGATTTATAGAACAAATTTATTTCCAATAGCTCAATTTATTTTAATGCATTTAAGTGTTATCCAATGTTTTTAGTCATACCTGTAAATGTGGATGTATAATTGAATGATTTTTTGTACACGTGTTGAAAATTGAAATCTTTTAAAAAGTATAACAAATTCAGAAAAAAATAATTTATAGCATGCGCGATAAAGGTGCAATATCACCTTGGATTTTTCTACCCAAAATATTTGCTTCAATAATGTTGCCTTTAATTTTTATAATTTCGTACCATATTTTAACTGGCTTTTAGTATTTTAATATCTAAATTACATTTTTCTTACTAATAATTCAATATACATTATTGTATTGTGATTCAACCTACGATCAACTAAATTATTACAGTAAATGGAGAGGAAAAAAGCGTATGCGCTGTGAATTTATTTACTGTGCTCCAATTTGCTTGATATTTTGGGAATATGCTAATCTTAATCTTAAGTTCAGAAGTGAATACAATTTGCACTCCGTCAGCACCCTTCCCTGCGCATTAATTGGATTATAACTCTTTTAATTCTGATTTTATCAGAACTTGTAATATGCTATTTTCAAGGTGATTAAATGAGCTACAACTTTCTCTATCATAAATTTCACCATAACTTCTCCTATTGTGAAACGGCGAAGGGTTAAAAGACTCGAAAAACCTCTGGTTGGACAGCCACGCACTCCTTAAACAATCATACCTCTGTCAATATTTGTGTAACAGAAAAATATGAAAAAGCAATAATTACTCAGAAAAATACCTTGAAATTTCATATTTATACTTTTATACATATTCTTTCAGAGATATTATAATGAGAAATTGGTTCTTTTCATGAAATCATGAAGAATTTTTTTCATGAAATCATGAGTTTTTTTAAAATCGTTTGTACTAAAGTTGTGGTATTTTCTAGAATCCATCAAGATCTCTTAAACCAAGTTAATTCTAGATGGAAAACAATTATTTTTAATTTTATTAAAAATTGCACTCACAAAACAATTTGAATTAAATGAAAAAAAACATTGTACGCTTTTTTTATTTGCATGATAGATCACTCATTTTACACGCAGAAATACTCATTTTAAAGCTTATTTTGAGCACTATAAAAGCCCATATTTATATCTAGCTTAATATTGTTCTTAGAAAACTTTAAAATAGCGATTTATTAAGATTTTATTTGGTATAATTTTGTTCATTACATGATTTTCGTTAAAATGTATATTTTTAAAGATATTAGCAAAAAAACGTTGAAAAACGCAAAAAACAAGTTTTTAGTAGCCAGTAACTTGATAAGTAATTGCTTTTTTGAAAAACATTATTTTTTCAAAACATTAAACATTTTTCTCTTCTAAATAGTTCTTCTATCAATATCCAACGTTATTTTGAAAGAGATACAATTGCACCAATGAAAAAGGATGACATCCTCCCCGGAAAGTGGCAAAAGAGTCTAAATTAATTTTACTTTTAAACTTGAGAGTAAGATGAACCTAATTCCAAAATTTCATGCAAATTGGAGCACATTAAAAATATTCCGACCCAAAACGCTCCATTGACTTGAGTAAATATTCCGTATCCAATGCCAAACATATGGATTTTTGACACAATGAAACTTCTGAATAATTGTTTGAATAAGTAAATTATTTTTGTATTGTGATTTAGTAAAATAAGGCAAAGCACAACTGCATTTAAAAGTTAAAAAATAATAATCTGTCAAATTGAATTGTAGGCTAAGTTGATGTGCGATCACTGACAGACGCATGCGCAGACTGCATCACCTGTCAGATGTTGACTGTAAATCTTATATTATTAATTTTAATTTTTGGCATATCTCAGCTGCTTTTTGACAATAATAATTTAGACATTACATTTTTCTTATTCATAATCATAAATATATTATATGTTAATATTGTCTTAGCCTATAAGTGAAAAGGAATGTTTGGCAAATGACAGTCTTCTTTTGTTTTTAATGTCAAACTATGCCTTAAATATTTTCAAGGGCAAACAATAATAAGCGGTTTTTTGTAATTTTTTCCATTTATTTCTACAATCTAACTATATTTCTATAAATCTACAAATTATAAAAAATTTCCCGAACAAACTTCAGGAAGATTCATGAAAATCCGAAATATAGTTTAGGAGGATTAATCATTCATACATAGTTACAGAAGAATTTTATATATAAGATATATATCTTATAAATAAAAATGGAGCTCTCTTTCAAATGTCCAAGTAAAACTCGAAAACGGCTGAATCGATTTGGCCAGTCTTAGTCTTGAAAAATTCGTGCCAATCCAGAGATGGTCGGAAAGGTGAGATATTATTTCAAATTCGCGTAGAAACTTTACATTTATAATTTGAAAATTTTTGTTGATGCGTAAATTAAATAAAACAATGGACGGTGGCTAACACGTGAAATGTCAAACGTTTTTGACAGATGATGTTCAATTACGAATATTATTTAATTATGATTGAATTGTAGTAAGTAGTTTTGTTCGTAGTTACATTTATACACAAAAACGTTATTAAACGGATCGCAAGTATTACTAGAGACTCAAAATATCAACTTTTTTGAAATGTTAATATGAAAACGCACTTTTTGGCATATTTTTCTCAAACACGGTGCTCTGAAAGATCTCATTTGTATAATTATATACTCATTGGTATTTATAAAACATTTTCAAGGTTATATTATTTTTTATTTATGTTATTTAAATTCAGAACCTAAATTTGGTATCGATCAAAGGGACATTTTGACGAATGATATTTTCCCAGTTATAATTTTCCAGAATTTATCGAAGAATAGATAGTAATATATGAAGGTCCGGGATTAAAAAGGTCCACCATAGATGTGTCAAAAATCAGTAAAGTTAAGCATTGTTTATCAACAAGATTAGAAAGTAGAGAAAAAAAGATGTATAACCTGCTATAACCTTGATTTGAAAACCGTAATCTTTGAAATGAGGGAGATAAACGGTAATCTTTGAAAATCCATAATAAAAGTATTTTTTTCCGTTGGAATTGTATTTAGCATTAGTTAAAAATGCAATTATTTTGTAAAATACCTTTAAAATTATAATAAGGTTCTAAACCTTTTTGCCACCTGCCCGTTTCAAGTTACCGCGCCTATAGGGTAAAAGGGTCTAGATAACAAATTTTTGAAAGACATCAAAAAAGCACATTTTTATAATGATGAAGTAAAAGGCAGTTTACTGAACGTAGTCAGATAATTGTTCGTTTGTTATGTGTTATTTGTTGTGATATAATTATTATGGTTTTCACAATATAGTTTATATTTAGTCAAAGTCAAATTTGACTTTTGTGCTTCGCCTTGCTCTACATATATACTTTTTATTAAATTTACATTATTTCATCGAATGTTACTTGAAACTTTTCAAAAAGTAGGTCAAAGAAGAAACACTTAATTCATTTCCTATCTCTCCTAGCAAAAAATTGAAAAATTTGTATAAGCATTATTTACAATTATACACAAAATCCCGAGTCCAAAAAGAATCTGAAAAACTTGAAACGTAATCAATAAGTCCAAACACCAAAAAAAGACTTGGATGGATTATACTATGTTTTCTATAGAAAGTGTATAAATCTTCCAGTTTAATTGTATTGACAAAATATAGACAAATAATGGGGTTTATTGTTTTTATAATACTTCATTGTATAAAGCATTCAAACAACACATCCTTATACACTTAAAGTATTAATATTTTTGATTCTGTAGAAATTGTTTAGAATATACCTTACTTAGTAAAACAACGTTTGCCAGGTCAGCTAGTATATATATATATATATATATATATATATATATATTGCCAAGAAACAATTTTATCATATTATTTCACCATCTGAAGAAAAACCTCTCGTTTTATATATATATATATATATATATATATATATATATTATATGTATATATATATAATATATATATATATATATATATATAAAACGAGAGGTTTTTCTTCACATGGTGAAATAATATGATAAAATTGTTTCTTGGGCATCCATGCAGTAATTAAAAACAGTTTTATTGAAGGAAAATGTTTTTATTCAGAGAACATACGTTTCGGGTCTTGATTTGACCCATCTTTAGTGCTATAATTAAATATTTCAGGGTTACAATTCAAAATAATATAAAAAATACATAATTACAGACAAAAATAAATAAAAACATGTAAAAAACATAAATCTAACCAATTTAATAAATTAGTTTTAAAACAAATATATATTGTGAAGGAATATATGCAAAGTATATATGAAAAACAACCATAAAATAAACAAATGTAAAGAAACTCACCATACAAATAAATTTGAAAAAAAAACACAAAAACACGAAATTGCACGAAAAAATAAATATGAAACAAAAAATTGATAAAAAGTCGAGTTAAGATAAATTTTAAAAAATTGTAAAATTAAATTAAATAGTATATTTTATTATAAAAAAGCTTTGTTCAAACAAACATGTTGTCAGCTTGGAGTATGTATTACGTGTGTGTACGAGAGTAAAATGTGGGCGTACGTGTTTGCGGAAAATAGTGGAAACTGTATCGTCATTGGATGAGAAAACGGGATAGAGAGAATTTTAATGGTTTCATATTACGAAGATTTTCTCAGCAATCATGCGCAGTAGGAACATAGAAAAAATATGGCATGTGGAAACAATCTATCGGAAATCAAACACTTTGCCGATTAATAAAATATTTATTCATTTATACCGTGATAAATTTCATAAATTTATCTGAACCAAAACTTTACATAGTTCCAAACAAATGATCCAACAAAAACCCATGTCAATTATTATTTTTTGTCTCGCTTACTAAAATTGACGCGACCTGCCAATCTCCCACATATTCCCCCTCCCAGTGACGTTGTCACGGAGAAACCATTCGTGGGTGATTGTAAACATCTCAATCATTTGTTTTCACCGCTATTTCGTAGACTGGTTTAATCCGATCTACTGAAACGGTGACATTTTTACCACGTATCATTAATTTGAAAGTTTTTGAAGATCGTGATAAAACTTCAAATGGGCCTTCATAAGGGTTCTGCAGAGGTCTTTTTGGTCCATCATTTCGAAGGAATACATATTTAGCCTTTTCTATCTCCTTGAACCTAAAGGTTGGTTTTACTCCATGCCTTGTGCCAGTCACAGGCCTAACCATTTTCATCTGCTTCCTAAGATTTTTTACAAAATCGGTCTCACTATGACTGGTCACTTGGGTTGGTACCAGCATGGCACCCGGTAATCTTAAAGTCTCGCCATATAACATCTCAGCGACAGTCGCTTGAAGATCTTCTTTCCATGCTGATCGAATACCAAGCATAACCGTCGGTAATATCTCCGCCCAACGCTCAGTATTATGACATCTTATCGCGGCTTTTAATTGTCTATGAAATCTTTCAACCATACCATTAGAAGCCGGGTGATAAGCAGTTGTCCTGAAATGTGTAGTTCCCATTAATCGGTTGAGCTGCTCAAATAAACACGATTCAAACTGTCTACCCTGATCTGATGTAACTCTTAAGGGAGCTCCGAATCTTGCTATCCAGTTAGAAAAGAATGCTCTTGCTACTGTAGCTGCTTCCTGATTATCTATATGGATTGCTTCAGGCCAACGTGAAAAACGATCTACGCATGTTAGACAATAACGATATCCATCTGATAACGGCATAATCACGATGTCGACGTGTACATGCTCAAATCGTGCTCCTGGCAATGGAAATACTCCCGGTCTTGAGACAATGTGTCGACTGATTTTTGAGCGCTGACACTCTAGGCAGCTGCGAGCCCATTGTCGACAATCCTTCTTAATGGAAGGCCATAAATAATGTTGCGTTACCAATCTAATGGTAGCATTTGCTCCAGGATGCGACAAACCATGTAGGCTATTGAATATAGCACGGCGAAATCTTCTTGGTATCACCGGCCGAATGATTGGTTGAGATACATCGCACAATAACGATGTTCCCAATTCTTCAATAATTTTTTTTTTAATTTAAGAGAATGGTCAGAATGTAATAACAATTGTGCCATGTCTATATCCTTATGTTGTTCATCTGCAATCGCCTTAAAATCTATATCACATTTGTTAACTATCTCTATACGGGATAAAGCATCTGCTACCACGTTATCTTGACCCGATACATGTCTGATGTCAGTCGAAAATTGACTAACAAAATCAAGGTAGCGAAACTGTCTCGGCGTACACTGGCTATCTTTCTTTTTAAACGCGTAAGTGATAGGTTTATGATCAGTATATATCACAAATTCTCTTCCCTCTACCATATGTCTAAAAAATTTTACAGCGTCGTAAATTGCAAGGAGTTCTCTGTCGTAAGTCAAATATTTTCTTTCTGTTGCATTCAATTTTCTCGAGGAAAAAGCTAATGGGCCCCATGCACCATAAATTCGTTGCTGCAACGCCGCTCCTATAGTGTGGTCGGAAGCATCACAAACTATAGCTAGAGGAGCGTTTAAACGCGGGTGCATCAATAACGTTGTTTCTGCTAAACTTTTTTTACACTTTTCAAACGCTTTCTCCATATTTGAATCCCAATTCAATACAGCATTCTTCTTCACATTACCACACAACTTGTTGGTTAACGGCACTTGTACTTCTGCGGCTTTCGGAATGAAGCGTCGGTAAAAATTTAACATACCTAAAAATTGACGTAACTGTTGTACCGTCTTAGGCCTTTCGTAATTTTGTATAGCTAGTATCTTGTCTGCTAAAGATTTAGTTCCGTTGGCTGAGACTTCATATCCTAAAAACTTTACTTTTGGTTGTCCGAAGATACATTTTGCTGGATTGACTACAACACCGAATTCTTGCAACTTCTTGAATACACTATATAAATGTAGCATATGGTGTTCGTGCGATTCCGATGCAACCAATATATGATCGATGTATGCATAACAGAAGTCCAAACCTCGCAAAATTTCATCCATGAACCGCTGAAAAGTTTGCGCTGCATTGCGTAAGCCAAACGTCATAAACGGAAATTCGAATAACCCGAAAGGCGTAGTGATTGCAGTTTTTTCAATGTCTTCCTGAGCTACAAGGATTTGATTGTAAGCTTTCACTAAATCAATAGTAGAAAATATCACCTTACTACTTAATGCTTGCGAAAAATCATGGATATGGCGAACTGGGTACCTATCCGGTTGAGTCCGCGCATTTAACCTGCGATAGTCTCCACAAGGTCGCCACCCAGAACCTTTTCGTACCTTATGTAAAGGCGAAGACCAACAGCTCTTGGACGGTCGTGCTGTCCCTGCTTTAATTATTGCTTCGAACTCATATTTAGCAGCTTTTAACTTATCTGGTGCAAGGCGACGTGGTTTATGTGCTATGGGTGGTCCTGATGTAGTTTCGATATGATGTTGAGTAACAAGTTTGCACACCCCTAATGCAGTCTGCCGTGTTAGGTCTGGATACTCCTCTAAAATTTTATCATGTGAAAACAATGTGGCTGTCATAATTTTAATAGAAGGTATAATTCTATTTTTCGATTGAAGTTGTTCCGTTGAATCTGCAGGGGTTTCAACTAATATACGTTTTTTAACATCAATCGCGAGATTAAAATAAGCAAGTAAATCTACACCAATAATAGGACGCGACACCTCTGCTATCACGAAATTCCATGATAAGGTTTTGCTAAGTCCAAAATCTAATTTTAACGATAACATACCGTATGTAGCTATCGGTGTTCCATTTGCTGCTGAAAGCCCAAATGAACATTTCTTACTGGGACATCTCACCAAACTGCGCGGGTACACACATACATCGGATCCAGTGTCTATCAGAAAACTCACATTTGTCTCCTTATCTGTGATGAAAATGCGGCGTGAGTTATTTGCGCGTTTGTCACTAGTCGCCATTAGTGACCGCCCGTATCGTTTCCCGACTTAAAATTACACGGCAATATACACCTCCTCGCATGACTTCCGTAGCGTCTATGAAACCGACATAAGTTATCTTGTCGTCTTCTAAATGACACTTCCTTCTTATGATACATTTGAATCTTATCCAAACGCTTTAAAACAGCTTCATTATCTTGACGCATTTGACGCAGATCAGCATTCTTTGTTTCAATCTCAGAGGTTTGTGCATCTGTAATCACAGCTACACGTTGCTGTGAATGGTTAATAAATAAGCGGTCAGCTAGTTCACCTACCTTTTGTATTGACTGTGCTCCAGAAGCAATCTCCAAAAATGGTTGAATTTCCACTGGAAGTCTGGATAACCATATTGCTTTAGCTGCGTTATCGGTCATCGAAGTCCCGACTAAAGTCCTCAAATGACGTAGGTATTGAGAAGGCGTCCTATCACCCAAATCTACATCAGACATAAACAACTGCAACTTTGACTTCTCCGAAGTGCCTAACCTTGAAATTAACGTAGCCTTCAAAGTAGAATAAGGCTTCTCTTCAGGCTCATTGATTATCAAATCTCGCACTTCGGTTGAATGTCTAATATCCAACCTGGTAACCAATAATCCATATTTCTCCTTCTCATCGTGGATATTGGAAGATGCGAATGCCTTCTCTACCAAAGCAAACCAAAGTTCCAAGTCATTTGGAATAAATTCAGGAATGTGCAGTTTGTGGCAGCTAAAATGTCCGTGTTGGCGCGGCATAATATCAAACGACAGGAGTCACCACTATCGGAAATCAAACACTTTTCCGATTAATAAAATATTTATTCATTTATACAGTGATAAATTTCATAAATTTATCTGAACCAAAACTTTACATAGTTCCTAACAAATGATCCAACAAAAACCCATGTCAATTATTATTTTTTGTCTCGCTTACTAAAATTGACGCGACCTGCCAATCTCCCACAAATCCATAAGCAACGGTTAAACATAATATGTGGATAAAAATGAAAATATAGAAACATAATAAAACCATGATAGACAATGTAAAAATGAAAAAAATATGTGATGAAGAGAAATTTATTAAGAAAAAGTATAAATATTAACTATGAAACGATATTAGTTATGAAAAAAGTTATTATATAAAAAAATGTAACATAAAAGATATATGTATATATACGCAAAACAACGTGCGATGAAGAGAAATTTATTAAGAAAAAGTATAAATATTAACTATAAAACGATATTAGTTATGGAAAAAGTTATTATATAAAAAATTATAACATAAAATATATATGTATATATACGCAAAACAACAATTACATATATGTATACACATACACATACATATATATACAAACACATGTACGCACACATATACACATATATGTAAACACATATATATATACACATATACATATATATATGCATATATATATATATATATATATATATATATATATATACATTCACACATATACATATATATACATATACACATACACATAAATACACATACATACATATATATATATATATATATATATATATATATATATATATATATATATTGTATATATTGTATACATATATATATATATATATATATATATATATAACATGTTGTCAGCTTGGAGTATGTATTACGTGTGTGTACGAGAGTAAAATGTCGGCGTACGTGTTTGCGGAAAATAGTGGAAACTGTATCGTCATTGGATGAGAAAACAGGATAGAGAGAACTTTAATGGTTTCATATTACGAAGATTTTCTCAGCAATCATGCGCAGTAGGAACATAGAAAAAATATGGCATGTGGAAACAATCCATAAGCAACGGTTAAACATAATATGTGGATAAAAATGAAAATATAGAAACATAATAAAACCATGATAGACAATGTAAAAATGAAAAAAATATGTGATGAAGAGAAATTTATTAAGAAAAAGTATAAATATTAACTATGAAACGATATTAGTTATGAAAAAAGTTATTATATAGAAAAATATAACATAAAAGATATATGTATATACACGCAAAACAACATGTGATGAAGAGAAATTTATTAAGAAAAAGTATAAATATTAACTATAAAACGATATTAGTTATGGAAAAAGTTATAATATAAAAAATTATAACATAAAATATATATGTATATATACACAAAACAACAATTACATATATGTATACACATACACATACATATATATATATACAAACACATGCACACACACATATACACATATATGTAAACACATATATATACACATATACATATATATATATATATATATATGCATATATATATATATATATATATATATATATAGAATTTTATGATATGAGTGGAACGAATATTAATTGTTTAATATGAACAAAACAGCACTCAGATTTGTTTAACACAACTTTATTTTATGATTACAGACGTTTCGAGACCATGGTGTGTCTCATCTTCAGTGTAATTTCAAAAACAGTTACTTATAAACTACACATTCATTTAAAACAAATTTGAAGTACTTATCTAGATGGAGACAGAATGGGTATCATTATAATGTAAACAAAAGAAGTGCTATCGCATACAAAAATCGATAAAAATGAAAAAACAAATTAATTTATTGAAAATAATAAGATAAATGAAAAAATTTATAAATTATTAAAATAAATAATTTATAAATTTTCTCATTTATCTTATTCTTTTCAATAAATTAATTTGTTTTTTCATTTTTATCGATTTTTGTATGCGATAGCACTTCTTTTGTTTACATTATAATGATACCCATTCTGTCTGCATCTAG